GAACTAAAATTTGCTCCTCAACGTGAATAAAAATTATAGACTCGCATTTACACTGAATTATTTATCTTTATTTATCTCTCAAATACATGTACAACTATAATCTCAAGCAAACATAGCTTGAAAATGGTTACATCATCTGATAAATTGAAGTTCATTTTTTGCATCATGAAAGTTGGCCAGTATTGTGACCTTACACACATATCCGCTGGAAGCCGAGATCCTGTGCTAATCTGCATATGTAGTGACTATGTAAATTGACTGCAATGGGCTCTCCCCCCACAGGCCAAGTGTGGGATCAGTCCTCGAGGTCATACTCCCGTCGTCCCCACCTTCAGCTTGGCGCCCTTGCATCTCAGAAAAAGGACAAGCGTGGCAGTGTCTACACCTACGCCTGGGATGGACTGATAGGGGGCGCACTATGGTTGATAAATTATTTAGTAGAGTATTATTTAATAGAGTACTAGGGAAATATGCATATGTAGTAACTGTCTGGTAAGTATGACTTCGGGGAGTCCTCCTGCACTCGGCCTGTGGAGGGAGATTTCAGGGCAGGAGCTTAGCATTCCATAGAGTATGTTTTTTTGCTCAACTTCATTCTAACATTGTAAAATTTGTCAGGAGCTTAATAGACACATGGCGACCATTATCTGTACAAATACATGTAGTGTCATTCAGTGCAGGGCAGTGTAATATACATGTACACTTACAAAATTGTAAAATTTTTGTGACATGAAAATACCTGGGTACTCAATGTAAAAGGTTTAAAGGATGAAATAACCATTCAAGTATGATGCTTACTCATACATGATGATAAAACATCAAAACTTTAAATTGTACATGTAAAATACACTTTCGTCACCTGATGGTACTGCCACAAATGTATTTAAGTGATCCAAGATCATAATTTCAATGTAAATTTTTCATGCCCCATTTTTATGTATGAAACTGCATTTTGTTAAGCATTAAAATGTAGTGTGAAGCTTAACATGATAGTCATTAAAAGCACGATTTGATTAGATGCCTTAAGCAATTAAAACCACAAAATATGTCACCAGACATGCATTAAATCTTTAGAAAAATTAAGTTTAACATAAAATGAAGTCACCAAATCATGTCCCACTGATTATTAACATTGTGAATTTACGATGTGAATGTGTGCCTTCCTGATTAAATTTATAAATAAATGAACAGGGGATTAACCAGTTAATGTCAGATTTTCTAACCTGAAATAGCTTCTGGGAGTGTTTTTTTTTGGGCCAGCAAATCTTTAATCTTGCAATTTATTTATAATGCCCATAGAATACATGTATGTAGGGAGGCACAGCCCATAGGTTCAGGTATCAGTATTTTTATTCTTTTCCGTTTGTTTAACCACCCATGTAAATATTGTGGCGTGTGTCCACACATCAACTGGTTCGCATAATACAGCCCTCACTCATGGCCATGTGTGGTTTTTTTTGGCCAATTGTTTTGATACATAGAATTTGCTAGTTAGTTGGGATTTTGTAACCTTATCTCTTTTGTAAATGTGGTTTCCCTCCCTAGCAAATAGCCTTATCCAAACAAAGGAGGCCTTTAACCCCCCTTAGCTCTTTTGTGTATGGTGTGGGCTCCCAATGCTACATGTAATTACTCAAGAAAGGTACATGTATTTCCTTCTTATTGTTGGTTGGGGTTTGTCCACTTGGTAGCAGTGTCTGGATTATCTTCGGTGCTTGACCCAACCAAGCACGACACATTAATACGTCATCTACAGAAATGAAAAAAGAATTCTTAAACAAGGGTACACGTCCTCTGTGACACAAATAAGGAAACTTGTGTGTGTTTGCACATCATCTGGCATCAAGTGGTTAAGGGTCAGGATGCACTTGTCATGTTGATCATAAATAATGCATGTGTGTATCACAAGATCATTTCAGGACCAATAAACATTCGCTTTAAAAATTATCCCCATGCTTAAGGGATTCTTACTGAGTTTTCTATACATGCAGGGGATTAAATTGCAGTGTATGTAATCCATGGAAGTTAAAGGTACAAAATTGGGACTGCTGAATAATGCTTTAATATCTTACTTGAAAGAAAGTACTTGACAGCCTTAGTCAATCTGTAAAATATTTCTGCCCAGAATGCTGTAGTTTTGAGAAAACAGAAATTTGTTCTCTGTTTTAACAGCCATCATTTGAGAATTTGTTTTTCATTTTAAATACCATATCCATTGATATGTGCTGATTTTTTTGTGTGGTGTGTGTACCGATGTCGGAGGAGTCATTATAAATGGATGATTGACACAATTGAAAATAAGTGACTTGTACATCAGGGTAGAAGGAAAGAGGTTATACATGTACTGTATATCCCCCTACAGCAATGATGTCCATAGCTATCTGCACCGTACTATGTACTTTTACATTGAAGGGTAACAGAAATAGAAAACACTAGGTTCATGTGAAGTATTTCAAAATAACAATAAATTCGTAACCATTTCTAAAACATCATAAATTTAATGTTTACCCCATTAATTTTTTTCCCCCAAATGAATAAAAAGTCCCTGCATTTCCCCACCCACAAAAAAATCCCCTTTTGGCCGTTTGCACTCCCAGGCTGATTGGATGATGTCATCCCCAGAATGATGCATGTATAGTGTGTATGTACATGTACATAGCACACAGTACATGCAGTATCGCACGCTTGCAATAGACCCTGTTGTGTTTGATATAGCTCGGCCCACAGGCAAACACTGTCGCAGTTCAAGGTAGAAAATTAAAGACACAGTCAGTCCTACTGTATGTAAACTAAATGTTTTCTATTCCTGTAAGCTGCAGTAAAACCTTTTTGTTAAACTTATTTTTTTTAATTATACTGGTTGTCATGAAATATTTAATAGTAGTCAACAATTTTGGTACTTTTTCAACTTGTACTTACAACGTAAGCTTGAGTTGACGATACCGGTAACCAGTAACTTGCATTTGGTTGGACTTAACTGGCATTGTGCAAGCTTTTCAGTAGCAATTTTGAGCCTGGAATAACCTCCCTTTAAGTGTACATGTCTGTGGAGCCATCAAGCAGCCATATCTCTCCATGACATTGTCATGGAGTTTCAAAGAGTCAATGATGTGGTAATATACTGTACATGTGGGCTAAATCTTTCATCACCACCAGGATTAAGCATTTGTACAAACCAACTAAGTAAATAACTGTTGGTTGTGGTGTCTTTTTTTTCAGTTGAAAGTAAAACCACACCATGGACAAGTGGGATATAGAATAATCCATCAGCAAGTAATCTTTCCTTGCCAGTGTTATAGATTTTTTCTAACCTCATCCTCATGTACGGATAGTGCCAAATTTGTGGTGTAAGAATATGGAGGGTGGTGTCCACACAGGACTTTATTTCCCAGTGCAGGTTACATGTACATACGATTTTCTGGTGAAATAAATCATAGTACCTTGTAATCACAGTACAGTTTAATACTGTATTTATCTGTGGCCGATGTGTTTAATATTGATTATTTGTTTTTGATTTTACAGCTCCCCAAGCAGTCGGTTCTTTTCTACACTTTATCCAGAGCCAATAATTCTGAGTACTGGTACAAGCTTCAGCCTACCCATCACCTTCCGACCACTTGAAAAAAATGTGTATTTGGACAAGATTGAATTCCAGACAACTGTAAGATCATTTTCTTTAGCTTCCTCTCTACCTTTTTTCAAATGTTCTATATTTGAAATTGCATGCAATTCTGTATTATAGTGTATATCAAATAGATAACCCACAAGCAAAGGGAAAACATAATGGCAGGTTCCTCAAAATATGGACGATTAAATAATGTTCAGCTTTGGGAGTTCATTTATCCTGAAGTGAACAGCAGTGAATTAATTCCCGATATCTGAAGAAATGAGGGAAGTCATGGTTGGTATCTGGAACAATGATGACCGTGCCCATCTCTCAACTTAATAATCGAAATTAATTCCCGAATTCTAACATTTTTGATGGACATGAACAACCTATTGAAATCCTAGCAGTATGTAAATGTCACGTGACGTAGTTTCTCTGCAACAGTAGCGCCCGGCCAGGCCAGCTCATTAACTCGTCGCGTGCTCGAGTGCACACGGGCGTGCAGTTCGCAAACTTTTCGGCCCTTAGCAACGGTAGACTTGCCGTGAAAAAAACGGACGTTACACGGAAGAACTGAAAGGAGCAATTTCTCTGCGTAAGTGTTTTTACCCATTGACTTTCTACACCTTTTCAAGCCACCATTTGGGTAATTTTCAGATGTTTGATCATCATCAAAGTTACAGACAACAAAGACCCTGATGAAAGAGTTTTGCTAAATTTATGATGTGATGATGATGTCATCACCTATTTTTAAATAGATTTTTGGATATTTCATCTAACCCATAGGTTTTGTACTCATTTTTCAATAGCCTGTCCTCAGCACTCTGGTCAATGTGACTTATTTCCTTCAATGTACACTTGAAGTCCCTCATGAAGTGAGGCTCCTGGGGAAAAATCATCAGAATCACATCATCAGGAGTCAAGTGACATGAGATTAAAGCTGCATTTTTTTTTCGTAGGTTTTGTGCACGTTTTTTTGGCTGAAGATTACTGAGGACAAAAGAGAAATCATATATTTTACGCTGTGTTATTTGATTTCAAATATACCCAAGATTTAAATATCAAGTAATATTTCATAAAATGCTTTCAGTTTAAACGCAAATCACGTGACATCATCTTAAAGGAGCCTTCCATAGGTATTCTTAGTCCATTGACTTTGTACACATTTTCAAACCACCATTTTGGTAATTATGCGATGTTTGATCGTTATCAGAGTGATAGCCAACAAAGACCCTGATACAAAAATTATTGTAATTGGATGACATCATGATGACGTTATCATCTGATATATTATTGATTTTTTAATATTTCTTTAAGCCCATTGACTTTGTACACGTTTTCAAGCCACCACTTTGAATCCTTCGCGATATTTGATTGTTATTAATTAACAACAGAGACCCTAATACAAGAATTATTGTAAATAAATGATGTCGTGATGATGTCATGAAATTATTTATTATTGATTTTTGGGTAATTCCAGAAATTAGGGGTCCAAAAGTGTGACACATGAGCAAAAATTTCAAAGTTACATTCTATTTGTTGTTTGTGTATCATTGGATATGACAAACTTCATATATCATTATTCTGCAACTGGATTTGGGAAACAGTGCATCAATTTCTAAATATCACATCTTAAACACAAAGCCATCATGCAAGTTGTCGTGCATAACTGGGACACTAAAACCACATCAAGCTACATGTACACTGCCATAATGCATTTCTTGGATGATTTTATATTCTTGTTATCATTTTCAAATCCACTCCCAGATACCTTTAAATACTTAAAACCCCAGAAACACTCAGTCTTCCTAAGTTTGACAAATACGCTACAGAAAAAAATGCACCTGCACACAAAACGGGTAAAATTCACATAAGAAGTAACTTGTTTTATTATAATAAAGCACAACTCATTTAAGCCAGTAATTCTTTAGCTTTAATACTTCACTTGTTGTGTCATGTCAATATGTAAGGCACAAGAGTGGTCATCTGACCTAGTTTTAATTATATCTGTGCATTTTTGTAGCCTGTCGCGCATAACTGGGACACCAAATATGTTGGTGTCCACGTTACAGTGTTGTATTCGAGTCCTTTTCTGAGTCAAATGAAAAAATGGTGACATGGTAACACAAAAATGGTGACATGCAAAGTGGTACAGTTAAAATCAAGTCCAAGTAACAAGACAGTGAAGTCAAAGTACATTATCTATTAAGGAAAACAGTAGTGTGAGTGTTTGGAACTTTGAGTGTACTAAAAATGGACAAGATTAGGAAAAATGACTTGGGTCCAAGTCCTTTTGCTTAATTTCTAAATTTCAGGTAAATGTCTTTCCAAACATTCTCACCGCTATTCCTTCTTAAAAATCAATGTGCTCAAATTTCACTGTCTTGTTACTTAGATTTGATTTAACTGTACCACTTTGTATTTTACCACTTTTGTGTGACTCGGAAAAGGACTTGAATACATGTACAACACTACTGTGTTACGCATGAAAGAAATCAGAATCTGACTGAAAACACATTTCCAGAAGCCATTCTTATAAACACACACTCAAAACCAATACATGTCATTTCATGAAAACAAGATCAAAATATTTCATGCTGTTTGGGGTCATTATCAAAGTTCATATGCACAAAGGAACAGGGGTGTCAGAGATACTGTACACGTCCCATCCTACAGGTGTACGTACTTGATAGGTGGCTCCTTTCTGAATGGTCTATGAACAAATTAAGGTTAAATGTACTCCCTGGAACTTCAAAATTTGACCTGCTCTTCTACTTTTAGTCACACTAGGTATGTTTTACAGATGGGGCTTTAACTGTTGCAGCAAACAAATGTCAGATTGACTGACGTTCTTAAGAATTAGAGTACTTTGCAGTTTAATGTTTTTGTTTTGACAGTAAGTAGCCTTGACAGTAAGTAGCCTTGACAGTACATGTATGTGAAATTTACAAGGAAATACCATGATGCTGTGCAGGACACATCTAATTTAAATCCACATCATGTACACGTAACTTAAAAGAAGAGGAAACACTCATTGAAAGTTTCTGAGATTGTGAAGGAGTTAGTTATTAACAAGGCTTTAATGTCGACATCACCATTGTGTAACATAATGGGCATGATGATTGCAAAGTTAATCAGAAAAATGCTTAAAATGAAAACAAATATCTCAGATTTCAAGGAGACTGTATAAATTTTCCAAGAGGCAGGTATCATTTTCAATTTGTAGATAAATCCAAACAAGTGTTTCCTCATTATGATAAATGAAAATCTTGATCCAAGTGTCAAATATAATGTAACTCGGAAATGAAATATTTCCACCCCACATTCATTTCCTCATACAAAAGATTTATTTCAGGGTGATTTGACCAGAAACAGAGGCAAAATCAACAGCATGTAATAAAAAGAGGACTTTGAACATGGTCAGCAGTGATAAACCCTGTTGGACCCCTGAAAACAGGAATCACCCCTTTCAATATTGATGCCCATTGACTTTGTACACGTTTTCAAGCCACAATTTGGGTAACTTTGAGATGTTTGATCATCATCAAAGTTACAGCCAACCAAGACCTTGATAAAAATTGTTGGCTTAATTTATGACCTCATGATGAAGTCATCAACTTTTTTTTTTTTAATTTTTTGAATATTTCGTTTTCCACTACAGATTTTGTAGATGTTTTTCAAGGCCAGTGTTCGGCGCTCTTGTCAATTTGATTGAATTATGTAATGTTCATGAAATGTTAAAGTTTACTATTCTGATAGTTTCAAAGTTATATAGTTTTTGAAATGCTTTCTCGAAAATGCCAAAACAGCCTGCAGTTGTTTTAACAACCGTCAAACCTCTAGTTTTTGTTTTTTTCATTCTCCAGAAATGCTTCACCGTCATTCGCATGTACTGTAGCTGTTCATTGTCAGTAAGCATAAATTCCACCCGACTTAACTAGTCTGCTGGCAATGACTCCACGCTCGATGAAGATAAACTTTTCTCTGGTCTCCCACCCTTTTCATTGTCACTTACCAGTGGTCTTTAAAAGTTTGGAGGAGATACAGTGGAACAGTTCTGGTTCTCTTTCCCCCGCCTTTTTTTTACGCACCAGTCAAATCCTGCTTTGCCTCAATCTACGCTGACAGCGCTTGGGAGATTGACCAGAGGGAATGTTGACACTCTTCCCATCCCCGTTGGTCTAACGCTTCTAGTTACATTGCTTTGCAGGTGCCTTTGCAGATGCCCACATTCAAGGCACTCTCTACAGTAGCAAGGTTCTAGAAGATGTTTCCTCAGTCAAATGAATACCTTCCATTCCTCATTCGGCTACCCTCTTGCAGTCATGTCTGCCCCTTTGCTCGACCGGGGTCTTTATTGAATTCCAATCTTTGTTGCTACAAGTAATTGTTACATGTGCATGGGTTCCTGTCACGGCAACTTGGCCCCTGTCAGCTTCAATCCAAGCTTCGTTGGGATGTCGTTTTACTTCCCACTTCAATCTTTCCACGTAACTTCCAGTTTCCTAATTCCACGATTCTTGTCCTTTTATATTCTCCAATCCAATTATGCTCCTCTCTCACCCTTCGCCTGGACCTTTATCTGATAAGCATATCTTCGGCCCAAAGATGAATTCCCCCCCCCCAAAAAAAACTGATACCTCTTACCATCAAGACACACCCGGTTAACAGTTGAATCTGACGATGAACCCTCAACTACTGGTTTTTACTGGCTCTTCTAATCTTCATGGGGTACTCCTGTCCCTAAACTTCCAATTTTCACACTCAGGAGTGCTTTGGTTAGCACGTTAGTCACTTCACCAGATAAATTACGGAGGAGGTGCTCTTGTACTACGCCTTGGCCTCCTGAAAATTGGATGTTCCAATGAGCCGTAGGCTTTGAGACTAGCCTGAAGGTAACTCACATCTTCAAGCCAACAACCCGTTAAGAGTCATCTGCTCTGATGGAAGGATTCACACGAGAGAACAGGCGCTACATCGCAGGGTGGTTGAGCCAGTCTCTTGGTACCCGACGGTCTACATATTGTTGGCTCTGCCTTAATATGGTACATCTA